GAGGATCGATTTTAAAAGTAATCCCGCAATCGGTAATGACCGATTGTAAAATAAACCTAAAAAAGATTATGGTTGATTTTTAAATGAGCCCAAAACTGGTTATGATCATATTAACAAACTCAAAATAAGCAAGAATTACCAATAGAGGTGACATTCATATCAATTGAAATTTAAAAAAAAGGATTAAAAAGCAAGATCTATGAAAGACAACATCCATGAAAAGAATTATTTTGTCAAAAATATGATTAGACATAAGGTTTTTAAAATGATTCAAATTACACACATTCATAACAAACGAAACAAGTTTTTTTAACATGATTATGAAAACAAAATCCATGCTAATCCATCAAAAATCACATAAAGATAGCATAAATCAAGTCAAATCTACACCGAGATCAAACCATTACGTCTTGGATAGACCAATAGCACAAGATCTCATTCTTGTCCTTCCAATTCCATGGTAGAGTATCAAACACCATTCTTATTTCACCTAAAGAATACTCCTCAATTGCTTCATACCTCGAGGGTGTCACACACTAGTGTGATTTAAAACTTCAATCGTACTCAAAATTGAGCAATAATTAATAAAATTACTCAAAATAAGTTAAAACCCTAAAGAAATGATAAAATTACTCTTAACTACTTTGATGAGCTTCGATATGTGATGTGGTGGATCAGAAGCTCACATTCTTTTCAATTTGTCGATGAAGGTTGTGAAAGTCACAGCTAGCAAGAGAGATTGAGGCTTAAGAACAAGCTAACAATATTGTAGAAACCTCGCCGTCGTTGATATGGCAATTGTTGGCACCGGTGGGCTATGTTTTTGGAAGCATGGAAAGGTTAAGGAGATGCTCGGTGACCACTACCAAATGAGGATGAAAGAGGAGTCATCGATGGCTTTGGTCGATAACTATTGAAATGTAAGTTTTGGCTTGTTGACGCTTTTATGATGTTGTTTTTGAAGAATGAGATAGAGGTTGACTCGGTGGGAAGAGAAAATGGCAAGACGTAAATGGTGGAGGTAGTGTCATTTAGTCGGGGAGAGAGAAAAGCGAGAAACAAGGAGAGAGAAAAATGGTTTTCCTTTTTTCTTTTAGGCTTCGTTTGTTTGACGGAAAACAACTTCTATAGAAAAATCAATTCTCGAAGAAAATATTTTTTAAGAAATTGTTTTTCAAGAAAATATTTTCTCGCCGTTTAGCAATTATATGAAAAAGCTGCTGAAAATATATTCCCGCATTTGTTTAATACGGAAAATTAAAATATAAAAACAAGTATGTGATTGTTACATCAACAAGTTTTGAGAAAATTTCCAAAATACATATTCGCAATTTCACACTATAAAATATATTTAGAAAATTTTAATAAATTTTCATAAATATTGACTCTAAAATTTTAATTCAAAAAATAAAATATATTTTTTTAACCATCAAACTAGTTCATCAAATTACTTATGACAAATCAAGTCAATATTCATATTTAGTTAAAAAAAAAAAATCTAGGTAATCCTAGCATTGTTATTTTGATAACTCAATTACAATTTATATATATATATATGAACAAATAAGTTTATAAATTATTAGTTATCATTTGTAACTAATTATTCACTACAATTATCAAAAAAATTTACAACTAATTAAAATTAGAAATTATTGATTTAGTTGTAAATGAATAGTGTTGAAAAAATAATGTATTTATTAATGAATTAATTAATTTCAAATTTTTTACAAAAAATTAGAGTCTTTTAATAATAATTTCCAATCATTTAAGTATAGTTTAGATGATTTTTGAGATAATAGTAAAAAAAAAAAAAGAGATAAATTATTAAAATATTTATCATAAAAATAATTTTAATGTGTAAAAATGGTTTTTAAGAATATTTAATGTATCTATTAATAAAAAAAAACAAATATTAGTAGAAATAAAGAAAAAATAATTAAATAATTGATAAGGAATATTTAAAAATTAATTTGATATATATATATATATATATATATATATATATATATATATATATATATATATATATATATATATATATATATTAAAAAAATGAGATAAAAATTGTTAAAATATATCGAGAGAGAGGTAAGTAACCCGAGAACGAGACAACTCATGAGAAGGAAAATGTTTTCCTCTTTTTAACTGGGAAAAACATTTTTTCAAAAATATTCAATCATTTTTCATTGATCGAAAATCATTTTCCGTTGACTTTGTTCCTAAACGCAAAACAAACACTGAAAAATGAAAAAAAACAATTTCCTTATCCTCCAGACAAACACAGCCTAATATTCTATGTGTTTTGACTTATGCATCCAGCTGGCTAATTAAAAGTGTTTTAGATGGATAGCTGAAGGAATAAGGCTATTCTTGCAAGGCTGGGATAAGGAGAAACGTTAGGAATAAAATCTTTAATTCAAACATCAACATCATTGTCTTTTTTAATTTTAATTTGCTTCTTTTTCAATTCTTTTGCTCTCATTTTTCTTTCTTTTGATTTTTGACTCGGCTCACTTGACTTTTCTCTTATTTTTTGCACTTGAAGCTCACAAACATTATTTAAAAACAGAAGAACACATAAAAATGGTCAACTTTTTTTTTAAAAAAAAGAAGAATCAAACAAAAAATAAAAAATTTGGGATTTTTGGATTGTTTTTGAAAATTTTCATGAAAATTAAGAGGTTAGACTTGGGTTATGATAGTGAAAGAATGAGAGAAAATTGGTAGGAGATTAGGATTATTTTATGCAAGTGGCTAGGATGGTAACAAATTTTCCAAACTCATTAATCAATGGGATATGTAAGGGTTTAAGATGGCGACACATGATGTAGTAAGTGAACATTTAAAAATAAATTATTAATATTAAGTCTCATTTTGACGTGCGTCAAATGTGATACTTATAAGCTGTTCTAAAATCTCCCTCTCCATCGAGTGGATAAGATGAGAATATTTTATGAAGATGTGAATTTTTTTTTCACTTTTCTCTTTTCTCTCTTTTTTTTTTTCTTTTTCCTCTTTTTTTTACCATGTTATTTAAGATTTTTTTTTCTCCATTTTTTCTCTTTTTCAATCTTCATGTTTTTATAAATGCTCTCTCTTTTCTAAAACCTTAAAAAAAAATGCTTAAAAATCAAATAAAATCATGAAATAAAATAAATTATAAAAGTGTAGTTTGTTTAGTTTTTTGGATTTTTTTTTTTTTTGCGAAATTTATATAAAATAGGACGAGGCCAAAAAAAAAAAAAAAAAAAAAAAAAAAAAAAACCGAGTGATGACAGTGATGCAAGCAAAGATAAATCACAAAAAATAAATTTTGAATGCTAAGAAACTTAAATCCTATTTTCCCACATATTTTTACAACCAGCACATCAGGATACCAAAAAATATAATGTTGCAATCTCGTCATTTTAAAATTTCTCATGTCAAATATCTTATATGCCACATATATGTCATCAAATTAGAAATATCTCTTATAAAAAGAATTAATTGATCCGTTTTTAAATATACAAACTAAGATAATAAAATAGAAAAATAATAAAAATAGAGGAACTAAATAATGCCATTATCTTTGGTTGAAAATAGAAAGGAAACCTTAATAGAGAAATCTTTGTCATAGGTTAATATATATCCATCTAATTTGTAATTGATCGTCTAATGCTTACATCTACAACGGCAAAACAAGTCACAATTTTCCCTAAAATTCAGTATTTGGCATCAAATCATAATAATTGTTTTCTCCCTCCGTTTTCTTAGTTTGTATAAATGAGAAGTTTCTTATGATTTATCATCAAAATTATCCTTTAAAGAAAATTAAAGTCTATTTTAACACTATGAATGGAACACTTAACGAATAGATGCAAATTAGATGGAATCAATTTTTTTTTTTTTTTTAAGAATTGACCTTCTTTTTTTTATTTGTTGTTGTTTTTATATACTTGTAAAATTGTTTGTTTCCAACCGATAATAGTGTGAGATTTTTTTTATAGGTATGGTGTAAGGTGAATTGATAGCAGAGTGAGAGGGTGTAGAGTAAGGTGGAGACTGACGAGTACGATGATTTGAATGAACAGAGTTAACTTAGCAAATTGCAAATTGTTATATGATAGACACTAGCAATAGGGGTGATTGTAGAATTGTGGGGAGTTGACGGTTGTGTTCTAAAAGAGTTACAGTAGATGTAAAGGTGGCTGAATAGGGTAACTTATAGTTGGATGGAGGCTATAAGTTGTGAAATAAGTGTAATAGGAGCTATGGGGTAATCTAAAAGAAATATTAGCACATGAATAACAAACATTGCAAACAAAGAAGGAAATGATAGTCGGAGAAGAAGAGAAGATAAGAAGGAATATTAGCACATGAATAATAAAAATAACAAACAAAAAAAGTAATGACGAATAAAGAAAAAGAGATGATAAGAAGAGAGGGTTAAGGAGGTAGAAAGATAGAATAAAATGAATAGTAACAGCAATGTAATAAGAAAAACAACTAATTGGTACACTTATGTAAAAAAAAAAATTAAAAGAAACATTGTTGCATGAATAAGGAAAGAAACAAGTGATAGGAAAAAATTTTATTTGTATTTTAGAGTTCTTGTAATTTTGAAACTATCACTGTTAAAGACTAGATGGAGGGTTAATGTACGAGGGGCTAAATAGACTAAAGTCTTGGACAAAAGCGATAAAATCCCAAGTTTCGAGACTAAATTGACAATAGAATAATATATAATTGCGTTGTCAGTCATACGTTGGTTATTTATTAAACCTCTACCACGTACTCTGCAGCGGATAGAAACTCGCAAAACCCTAACCCTTTTGTTTTCACCACTCAAGGGAAAAATAAAAATAATAATAAAAAATAATAAAAGAAAAGAAAGAGAAGAAAAGGAAAGCAAGACAAGGAGCGTAAAGACACTAGGGTTTTAGACAATCACCAACAGCAAAACAAAGGGTAGGAGAGAGGGAGAAAGAGAGTGAGGTTTAGGGTTTTGGTTGATAGAGAAAATGGTGGCTGACAACAAGGGTAAGAAGTTGAAGGTTGCGGAGAAAGGCGAGGAGGACAATAACCAAATCGATGAAGAACTCGTCCTCTCTATCGAGAAGCTCCAGGAGATCCAAGACGATCTCGAAAAGGTAGCCTAAATGCTGATATAAATGTTGCATTTTTTTGGGTATGTACTTTCAATGTCACAAATATTTGTATGAAATTTGAGAAAAAAATTTGGTCTGGTAGAAACCCAATTACTTTTTCTTAATGTTTTATACGCACACTGAAATTAGACTCGATTATTGATTTTTATTATTTGCCTATTCGTTCTGGGATTATGCTATCTAGATACCTTGATGTGCTGATTTGTCAAATGATTGCTTATCTTGTTTAATTCCTGTTATATAGCGATTCAGATGGGGCATGAATCTCTGGTTATGTGATGAAAAGTTCTTTCAGAAAACCAATAACTAATATAAGCTTAATAACAAAAAAATAAGAAGAATTATTTTTTCTCCAACTCAATAGCATTCAATCGGGAAGGAGGATTGTGTAAATCATGTTGGATACGTTGATCTTATTGCTTCTTTAGACGTTGAAACTTGAACCCTGCTTTGGCTATTTCTGTATATGTTTATAGATTAATGAAGAGGCAAGTGATAAGGTCTTGGAAGTAGAGCAAAAGTATAATGAGATACGCAGGCCAGTATATGAAAAGCGGAATGAGATCATTAAGTTGATTCCTGACTTCTGGTTGACTGCGGTTAGTGACCTGTTCTTATCAAAGTATATAGTTTGTCAACTGCTATTATACTATGCCCCTGCCTTCCCCAAAACAGAGTTCATCATTACACCTAATTGTTTATGGTTCTCTGCAGTTTCTAAGCCATCCTGCTCTTGGTACGCTTCTGAGCGACGAGGATCAAAAGGTTTGGTGTTTGTTCCTGTATTATCTGAAGATTAACTTGCATACTTGCGTTTGTTGTTTTTTGTTAACTGCTTGTCTGTGTAGTAAATTTGATTCCCTTCTCCTTGTATATTCTTTGTAGATATTGAAATATTTAAGTTCGCTGGAAGTGGAGGATTCAAAAGATGTCAAATCTGGTTATTCGATAACATTTGTAAGTTTATTGTCTGCCCCCTGCTTGGTTAGTTTTGCATGGATAACTGATTCTACTGTCTTTCCTTTACTTGAATGGTACTAATTGATATCTGGTTTTTGTTGAATTGATTGAGTAGTTCTTGATTCAGATTTTTTTTTTTAAATTATTTATTTATTTATTTTTTTTTTGGCAGAACTTTGAACCCAACCCTTACTTTGAAGAGACAAAGCTTACAAAATCTTTTGCCTTCCATGATGAAGGAACGACAGAGATTACTGCTACACCAATCAACTGGAAAGAGGGCATGGTAAATTCTTTGTTATTTCATGATATATAATGTGTCTAAATTGTGTATTCTGTTTTGTTTTTTGTTTAATTACATCTCTAAAATGTGAAGGGTCTACCAAATGGAGTTAGTCATGAAAAGAAAGGGAACAAGAGGCTTTTGGCTGATGAAAGGTTTATTTTCTCAACTTGTTTACTTTTTCTCCTATTTCCTTACTCTAAAGCCAGTTATCATGTTATGAAGGTCCTTTTTTTTAATCTTTAAAAATGTCATCTGTTCTAGTACCAAATAAGGGAAACATAAGAAAATCTCAGTGCAGAAGCAATATCTTCAATTTTTTTATCTCTTCTGAAACATGATTTATCGATTGATTGTTGCTGTCATTCTGCTCATTTTCTTCCTCAACCAACCAATGATATTTTTCTCTTTGATGAGTTTATGGTTGGTCAAATTTGATCTTTGTTTTAGTAATGATGTTATGTGATATGCTGTTTTCAGTTTCAAGTGGAATACAAGCCATGATTGCTGGATGTTTTGTATATCATTGATTCACTTTATTTTCATCTTTTATGGATACTGCCTATTGTTTTTCCAATCTGAATTTCACATTTGCACATGTTGTATTGTGTGCCTCACCTTCAAATTTACCTGCTTGGATGCAGCTTCTTTAGCTGGTTCAGCAACACTCAGCCAAAAGGCATGATTGATGAAATGCAGGATGAGGTAAGTTGAATCTGTAGCTGACAAAGTAGTAGAGCTTTTTTTATTTGTGGAAGCATTGTAGATTTTTTTTTCCTTTACAAAATAGTTTATTGAAGCTGCTACAATCTTATGCCAAAAAAAAAAAAACTGCAGGTTGCAGAGATCGTTAAGGAGGATTTATGGCCCAATCCACTCTCATATTTTAACACTGTAATTGATTTATCTGTTGTGATCTTTTCTTCCCTTTTTTTCTTGTAAATGAAGCTTAAAATCAAATGTAACTTCCTTAATTCTTCACTGTAGGATCCTGATGACGAGGACTTTGATGGGGATGATGTAGATGATGTGGTAAATGAATCCTCTTTTGTTGTTAATCTTATAATGTGCTTGCAGTTTTTCCTTCCATTCTATTTGAGGCATGGAGTTTTATTCATTATTTCATTGTTGGTTCTTGGAAAGTTCAGTCGGTGATTTTCTAGATTGCTTGTTGGATATGAAGATATTGAAACCAAAATAGATGGTGGATACTTGTGTTGCAGAAGTTTGAACTTAATAGAAAAGGCCTTTTAGCAGAACTTGATAGGAAATGATCATAAAAATTAAAAGATGGATATGAGACCTTTGACAAAATTGAAATAGCAGAAGAATCTGAAATCTGAATTGCTGCGGGAATTTGGTGTTCCATAGTGCTTGATGCAGGCCAACCAACTTTGTGCTTCAACAAATTCCAATCGTGTAAAACATATCTAGTTGAAGCTTTTTATGATCCTGTTGGAAAGAAGGTTGCTGGTGCAATCTTATTGTCAGTCTTCAGGTTTTTTTTTTTTTCATGCCCACACATATTAGGGATACAGTATTCTGTCCTAGTAATGACATTGTTTTATCTTTCTTTGCTAGAAAGCATCCTTTAAGATGTTTCAGTTTAGTTGCAGTTCTATTGACTGATTAAACAATGTATTTGAAGTTTCATTTGATAGATAATCTGCTGCTTTTGACAATAAAATTTAAGTTTTGTACTACAATATTAGGCCTGCTGTACTGAGTGAAAAACTTTGTTGGAACCTAGTAATAAGTCTTCCAAAGAGGATTTTTCAACTGTTATCTTATTTCCTGGGTTCTGCCTAATTGCAGGACAAGGATGGTGATGACTCTGAAGGGGAGGATGATGAGCAAGCGGAAGATGATGATGATGATGATGAAGAAGAAGAAGAAGATGACGACATAGCCAAATGATTCCTTCAGCCATTTACTTGTATCAGCTTTCCCTTTTTGGGTAACGCCTTGTGTAAAGTAGTCTAAAAGGATTGCTGGTATCATGTGCTGGGGTGGGTAACCCACACTATAACTTTTTATTGGTAGATTTCTCAACTATGTAGGCAACTGGCTGGTACCATGGTCAGTTAGTGCTTTTCTGACTTTGTCTTGTTTCAGGGCCTTCCTTTTTGTGTATGGGGTTATTTTTGTGTTTTCCTCCCTGAAATGCAGGTTTCTAGATGATGATGGTAGGTTGGCCATTTATAATGACTCTCTTTTCGATGAACTTCTCCAAGTCAAATGTAGAATATCTGTGGTGTAAAGCTATTTGAATATCCTGCATGCGCTTCTATAATAGAAAGCAAATGATGTGGGATCCTATATAATCTTATAATGCGGTTTGAACTTCATCATTGGCATCGTTAGAACTTTGTACAAAACTTTCTTTGTTAACTGTCATAATTTTGTAACACCAAGTCTAACACATGTAATCTGAACAAGCCTTAATTTCTCTTATTTCATCAGTAATTAGTGGAAAGGGCGAATTTGCCTGTTTCACAAAGTTTTGCACTCCCTGGTGTTTTTGTCAGGACCTGGTGGCTCCTTGACGATGGTGGTAACTTGTTATAGGAATAATGCTAATCTGGGTATGCCAGCATTATGGCGTCCTCGAGCTTTTCAAGCCTAAAAGATTCTCTTTCGAATTCCGATCTCACTTGGCACATAAGTTTGGTGCATCTCCTTTACTACATCCTTCTTATAGAGAGAGAGCTACAAGCCCTAAAGACTTGGAGTCATAGGTGGTCTTTCGATTCGGTCGCGTGCAAGCTGGTTTGTGGTGGGAGTCGACATGAATGGTGTTTGCCTTCGTTATTTTGGAATTTTTCTAGACTGTTTCTTTTGTTTGCTGGTTGTGGTCTCATCCTACTTGTTCTACGAGGAGGAACCGTAGTTTTGTTGCGGTTTGAGCTGGAGAATTCGATCTATTCTCGCCAGAGGGTTGATATATTTTTAAGGCGGGGAAGCTGCAAGCGAGTCACACAGCAACATGCTGCTTTTTAGATAGCTCCCTAGGGAGCATAGGTTTGGGATCGCTGTATTGGTGCCTGTTGGTCTACCTTTTGCTCGTCAGGTCAGATCAGTTTTTAGCAAGGACTATCCAGTTACTAGTGCTATGTTGAATATTGTAGGTTGAGTATAGCAAAATCGTTTTAAAATTTTTTATTTGTTTTTTCATTTTTTTCATAAATTTTATAATTAAAAAATCTGATTTATTCTTACTTATGCATTGATTCTTGAATAAACATTTATAATAATTTATATTGAAATATTAATCAAGAATTAAAAAATATTTTAAAAATATATTTTTCATAAGAATGTATTCAGAAAATAAAATTACAATTAATATATAAAATTGTATAAAAATTAACCAAAAAAAATAAATTTTACTCTTATTTAATGCTGATGAGATGAATATATATATATATATATATATATATATATATATGAACAATTGGGCAATTCTTTTATTTCAAAAAAATTGATTCTTTAATGTTAAAAAAAAAAAAAAACATTCATAGCAAATAGTTGGTGTTATGTGTAAAGATGTATAGTTATTTTTTTAATAAAACCGATGATTCAATAATTTTTTTTTTTTTTATATATCTTGACCATACTAAAGGGATCGAGAAAAAATATCTGAAATATATTTTAACTTTTAGGATAAAATAATTACATATTTATATGTATGCAACCATCATTTAAAAATTGTAAGAATTCATGATTTATATATATTATATCAATTTTTTCAAAAAAGAAAACAATCTTGTTCTAAAATTTTATTCTAAAATTTAAATATAAAGAAACATAAATTATATTTAATAGTAATTAAATTTTTATATAAAAAAAATTATTGGATGAGGATTTTCATAAGAAATGGCAAATTCAAGAAATAAATTTTAAATAATAAGAGTAATATAATCTAAAATATATGTTAATTTTAAAATATAAAAAGATATATATATATATATATATATATATATATATATTTTTTTTTATCATCGCAACATTGTGTGAAAAACACAAACAAGAACGCCTCAATTCGTAATTTTTGCATAAAAATTCTTCATAAAAAATTTAAAGAAAAAGAAAACCAAGGTGTAGGCGAGGCTTTAAGCCTAGAGGACTAGGCATCGACTAAAAAAAAAATGACCGATTTAAATTTTTAATGACCTATGCAATATCCGGCAATCTTGATTTTGCCAAAAAAGTTATCGAATTTTATAATTTTTTACCTCCCAAATAAAATTTAGTCTCTCTTTTTCTTTTTTGGGTCTAAAAACACATCAAAATCGGAGGAATAATATGAAGAAACTTGTTTAGAATCTCAAAAATCATTTTAATATATAAAAAAACTCACAAAATTCAAATCAAAATAAAAAAAGTCAAAATATTTTGAACTTTTGATCAACCTCCTTCGTCCAATTCATGGCTTGTGACCACCACAAACAGACTCTATTTTTCGAGACGAAGAAATTGATGGTAAGTTTGACTGTTAGGTTGGTTAGAATGGCCCCCCTACCCTCTCTCTCTCTCTCTTCCCTCTTTTCTCTCTCCTCTTAACATATAGTGACCAAAAGAAAGAAAAAAAAATATGGATAAAAAAAATTTTAAAAAGAGAGACCAAAATGTATATTTTTTGACAAATGGTGAAATAAAAGAGTAAATGACTAATGATTTTAGACACAATGTAGAGTGAATAAATAGTAAAGTAGAAATAGCGAACATTGAATGAATTTAACGGGTGTTTGGTGTCATCACCCCCAAAGTGGGTCATGACTAGTGTGAGAATTAAGAGAATCGTGAGGCCCACCTCAACTCAATTAAGCTTCGAATATCTAAACTATAATTTTTAAACTTGTAGCACATCAAATATCATTTCTACTATGTAATATCACGACCTAATAGTTAATACTTTATAACCCTTAAACAAATGATAATTCTATAGTATTCTTGCACTTTTCAAAATAATATCCATAGTCTAATTCTAATACAACTCTCACAATTGTAACTGCAGAGCTTCTAAAGGATAAAACAATATCAAACACAAAATTCAAAAAGATTACAAGTAAAAGAGTCGCACGATCAATGTGTTCATGCGGCTTCAAGACGACTTCTTGGAAGTAAAAAAGGTAATCTCACAAACCCCGCAAAACTAAAATAATGGAGTGTAAGCAAATCAATAGCTCGATGAGTAGATATTATATAGCATATATAAGGAAGGAAAACGATCTTAGAATGATAATTTAAAACCTACTCAAGATCCAATGCTTATTTCTCAAGTCAAATACATATTATATCTCAAATACTTTAAATCCAAATCAGATCAAACATTAAAATCTAAAAATAAAGTAATCAAATTAAATCAAGTATCTAAATTTATACTTAAGGTGCAACAAACATAACGTATCATTGGATACAAACACCAAAAGGCTATGCCCCTCGCGACTAGGTACACCGTATACTCGGTCGACATATGGCTAGTACTACACCTCTCTTACAAGCCGAGCATTTTCATATTAGTAAAATCACGAGCTACATCCCTTTGATGTTATTCTCTATATGGATTTCTTATCTAAAGAATAGGGCGTCAATTAACTGTTTGGCTAAACAGGTGATATTTCATCTACTCGAATGAGCAACCTTTTGAGTTGCAAACGAGAACAAGAATGAGACCCGTAACCTTAGTTTTAACCATGACAGACTTGAAAATTGATAAAAGGTGGATGTATGGGTTATCTAGTGAATATAGTTGATACCAATAAGAAGAGGAGCCAAAAATTGAAAGATATCGAAGTAGTTAGAGAATTTTTAGATGTCTTTCTAGAGAATATGTCGGTGTTACCTCTAAAAAGGAAAATTGATTTTGAAATTGAATTGAGACGAGGGAACGAGTGCCAAATTCAAAGCACCATACGGAATGGGTCCGAGTAGAATTATAGGAGCTTAAAACATAGACATTGGAGCTATTAGATAAAGGTCATATTCAACCTAGTGGTTCACCGTGGGGAGCTCCAATGCTACTTGTAAAGAAAAAGGATGGATCATTATGATTGTGCATTGATTACGGAGATTTGAATCGAGTAACCATTAAAAACAAGTATCCGCTTTCGTGGATAGATGACCTATTTGATCAATTAAGAAGGAGCTCGATGTTCTAAAAAATTGATCTTCAATAAGGACATCATCAATTAAGAATCAAGGAAGAATATATAAAGAAAATAGCTTTTAGAACTCGGTATGGGCATTACAAGTATCTAGTAATGTCGTTTGGGTTAACTAATACCCTAGCCATATTCATGGATATGATGAATTCAATATTCCATAAATATCTAGATAAGTTCATCATTTTATTTATTGACGATATCCTAATATATTCTAAGAATCATGAGAAGTATAAGAAGTATCTCAGAAGACATTATAGATACTTTGAAAGCACAAATTTTATACTAAGCTTAAAAAGAGTGCATTTTGGCTCGAACAAGTGGCATTCCTTAGGCATGTTATAGCCAAGGATGGGATTATGGTGGATCCTAGTAAAGTATAGGTAGTACAAGAATGGAAGCAAATGAAGAATGTTTCTAAGGTAAGGAGCTTCCTTGGGATGACGAGCTATTACTAAAAATTTGTAGAGGGATTTTCGAAGATAGCCACACTACTCACTCAATTAACAAAGAAGAATGCAAAATTTGAATGGGATGGTCGGTGCGAGTAGAATTTTCAAGGGCTAAAGTTTAGACTCACTATAGCCCCGATATTAGCTCTTCCTATTGATAATGAAGATTTTATAGTCTATACGGATGCTTCTCATATTGGATTAGGAGCGGTTTTAGTACATGATGGAAACATGATTGCCTATGCATCTTGAAAATTAAAAGACTACAAAAGGAATTATCTCATTCATAATCTTAAACTCGGTT